AAGACACTGCACTGGTCACTGAGAAATCAATTGATAAAACAGAATACTTTTGTTTCTTCCAGTAGATACACAAATCAATATTTAGGCTTTTAACCATAACTTTGTCCTTTTATAAATAGGTAAAGAATGGGATATGGCCTTCTAAAAGAGACCTTACCTCTACAACTAGCACATAAGCTTGCGGGATGTAGTTCAAGAGCATCAACCACAAGTACAAGATGTCAGAAAAATAAAAGCAACTTTGTCTTCCCTCTTAGCATTAAAGTTTGCAGAAGGTAGTAGCAGGTAATCATGCACATATTTCTGACCATAAAAAAAAGAGTATAAAAGCAATAACATTCTTAAAAGCATTGTGCAGAAAACTCAAGCAGCCTCTGAAACTGGAGGCAATTTGTACTTAGACATGCCAGGAAATTAATTCTTCTATTTGTGTACAAAGATTCATATTCTCCTACTCTTAGCCTGCCATTAAGCAACGTCTCTAGGAGAGCGCAATAAAAGCATCCTTTATCACCACACTTACGAGGACTGCCATTTTAGACAAACATTTTCAAATAAAATCGATTGCCATATAAAACTGCACCAGACAGAAAATGCACTAAGCAGGCAACAGTACACATCTTACCTCAAACACAGTCAAACTGTACATCATTACATAGTCGTTTCTTGTACTTGACAGAAAATAGAGGCAGAATCTCCAGGCTCCTATCTGCTGAGCAAAGTTATTTAAAAGCTCCTCTGAAAAAATGAAGTATTAAAAAAATTACATTAAAATTCTTAAACTGTAAACAAATCCATAATGATGTATACTGATAGCACAGTAACACACTGAGCATGGAAGAAACCCCATGTTCAGTGAACAACTCAAGCAACCTGGAGGAAGAAGGGGGAAAAAATAAAATCACAGTCCAAAGTATTAAAAGCAATCTAACAATAGGCTTTAATGAAAACAAAATAGGTATGTCATTTTTAGAAGACAGTTTTGACATGAATACTACACCAGATTAATAGCTGAATATTAAAACAAATCACACAAAAATTGTATTACGAGTATTACCATTTTATCTATAAAAGCCAAATATTGGGATACCAGGTCGCTGTGAAAGACTAGGAGCACCTCAGGTCACACACACAGTCTTATAAAACACCCGTGTTTTACTGCAATTGCTCCAAGAGCCATTGACTTTGTTGTAGGTCAGCATATCAAAACCCCCCTGAACACTCAGGTGCAGGATTTGGTGAGCTCAGATCAAGTGACTACGTACCAAATGCAGCAAAGGGAAAAGCTGCAAGGACTGTTTTACAGGCTAATCAAATTTAAGGCTTAACCAATTAGTTTCTTTCTTGCAACTTAAGCAGGAAAACAGGGAATGCTGAAGGCATTTACCTCTTCCACAGCATGGTATCTCCACAATAGGGAAAAAAAAACCCCAAACCTGCTTAGTTGCTTATTCTTTATTTTACCAGATTTCTGGGAGAAGTCTTTCATGCTGATCATACTTTTGGCACTCAAGTTAGAGATGGCAAATGTTTGAGAATAAAAGCAAACTGCCTATTTACAGCAATTAACCACAGATGCAAGAAGCTAATCTAGAGCACCTGTAAGATCTCCACTGCTTTTCAGGACATATTTAATAACACCAGCCAAAATGAAACCTCAGTTTCTTCCTACTTGTCATTTCACATTAAGTAGGACACTCTCACACTTTCCCTTCTTAATGCTGAACAAATCCGAAGTCCGTACTCCATCTCTAGGCAGAAGGCAGAGGTTTTCCAGAACGTGCAATTCAACAACATACAGCAGAGAAAAATCCTTCTCCTACCCTAATCAACTCGATAAAAACCCCTACATCTCCATGCTCAGATCATTAGACAGTTACAGTTTAACTATCTTTAAAAGTTATGATGTAAGTTCTAAAGTTAGGAACATATTAATTATCTTTAGGACCTACCATGGGACCTCTGAAACCGAAACTACGTAAGCCTTTACTTCAAGTTCATACGTAAGCAGAAGAGGCCAAGATGCCTGTTCAGTATCAGATAGAGCACTTTCACCTGCTATATTCATTTAATATAACCAAGGCACCTCTGCTGAGGTCTGCAGGCAGCAGAAAGCAAAGGGGAGCATCCTTCAGAGGTGGCATGAACTCACCTATCTCGCGTTTCCGCTCATTTGTTGTGCAGTTGTGGAAAAACTCTGTCATGAGACTCTCCAAAGCCCGTAACGAGGCCTCTTCAGATGCCTGGGAACGACATTTAAAGGAAAGAGTTAAAACTAACTTCCATTCAGGAGGTCGGTATTGTTCATGTCACAGATGCACCCAAAACCCAACAAAAGCACAAAGTCCAGGTGGAGGGCAAAATAATCCGGAATTTAAACTGCTCATTGGTGTCAAGCAGCAACAATATTTGTCCACTCCAAGGGAAAGCTTTGGATATGAAGGACCATTGGCTCAGCATTAACTAACAAAAACAATACCAGAAGTTTCCTTTTGGTGGCATTTAGTAATTTTAAGTTGGCTTGTCCTTGTCAAATAGTTCTCAAAGACAGCAAGTTCAAATGAAGGTGTTTTCAGATGTTTAGAGATAATAAGTACAGTGATAGCACGGGGAGCACGAGCTTTGAGCAGACTCCCGGCACCTATTCCTGTCTTTGCCTTGGTGCCACACTACCACCTGCATCCCCAAAGGTGCTCAGGAAGCAGCAGCTTAAAAAATTAAGGAATTTCCAGCACTCTGAAAAGCAATATACAATTATTCAGCAATTTGATTCGGGAACATTCCCCATCCCCAAATTTAGCTTTTATTATTGGAATTCATCAGTTACAGCTCAGTGTTTATAAGCCCTAAAAAGAATTACCAGAATTAGTATAGAGCCCTTGCAAGGTCTCTATAGTTGATTTTATTATAGTCAGAGCTCACGACCGAGCTTAGCCTCCCCAGCTGCGCCGCACTTCCCTTATGGTCTAAGCCTGATAATGGATATCCTTAGAAAACAGTACTGCTACGGTACAGACCATGCCCTTAGTCATTCCTCTAATGTTTTCAAAGCATGCTATCAATAATAAATGCATCAAGATTCAAGCCCCAACCTTCCTCCGCATGCAAAGTAAACCATTAAAGAAAACTGAAATTTCTGCTTCAAAAAAATAAAATCAGAAACAAAACTCATGACCGGCAGCCTTCTGCAAAGAGACAAGCGAGCGAGACAGCTTGCAGAAACACTACGGACTTCTGCTCATTCCCATTTCCACACGCAGCAGCTTCCCCAAGGACCACGCAGCAGGAGACCCTCCTCGTCCGCCCGGCGTTGGATTAACCCCCCAGGAGAACCAACAACTAAACACAACAGCGTGGGAAGACAAATTCAGCTCTGCTCTCCAAACAACTGGAAATGGATGCTCTGTAGGACACCCTGCATTTTCAATTACTTAGCAAAGGAATACTGAATTTCATCAACCTTTCCTCTTCCCCACCCTTTTTTTTAAAGACCTGCTCTAATAAGCAAGAACTATTTTAGCAAGAAACATTGTTAGTGGGAAATTGGCTTCAAATAACCTACAATCAAATCAAAGCCACTTGGTCAGCTTAAGCAAGATCAAGCACCCATTATCACCTCTTTAATCCGTTTATACATGGTCTCTGCAAACAGTCCCTTGCACTGTAAACTTCCCCTCTTCAGGCACTGAACAGTCTCCTCCTCCTGCCAGTCACCATTTCCCAGATAAGAGCAACACTGTGGATAAGAGCCTCGCTTAAAAAAAATGAATATTTGATTAAGTGGAGTCTTAAATGACATTAGGATATAGCCACACTGCCATTTCTATGCGTTTCTTCCTGGGATATTGCACATTGTTCCAAGTTCCTCCCAACTAGATCCAGACAAACAAATCCAACATTTTCATAAATCCTTGCTGTTTGCTTCTCGGCTGCTCAACACGGAGTAAATCTCACCAGCAGCTTCTGATCCCAAACCCCCAAAGAGGAGTTTCCAAACACTGGGCAGATCAATATGATGCAAATTCCTCCGTTGAGAAGCACCGTTCTCCCACTCCACCAGCCAAGATCAAGATCGCTTCGATTCATGGAGAAATGTTAGCTCTTCACACAGAGGAATGGCAGGGCTCAATCATTTTTTAATAGTTAGTGCAATCCTTCTTTAGGAAGAGTAGTTAAGTCGTTTTTTTCCAAAAGTCAAGATTTATTTCCTACTTTTGGAAATAAATTGCAGAGTTATTAGAAATCTTGAACATGTCCCCCACTGACTTCAAACTGCCTTGGCACCGAGATTTTGAAGATGACAGAACCTCCTCCTAGGAACACGCTTAATCTTAAGTGTGTCTTAAAACACCACCATCACAATGTTCAACGTGTCAAAAGCAAAAACGAAAACAGAGGAGACAACGCAAGCGTTTTATGTAAAAAGCCCAGGCTGGCCAGAATCCAAGGCCAACTTGATCAGAAAGAAACAGCGTGACCTCTGAGATTGTTTTCGTCTCCTATTTGAATTCTCCCTGCTGTTCCGGAGGTTTGGCCAAAGGAAGGTAGAGTAGCACAAATTGTCCGAAGCAATCAAAACCCAGCCTACGATGGGCTCTGCAAACTGGAGAGCCTCCCAGGTCTTCCCCGGGTGCTATCTGATGGCCACAGCAAGTGTACCCCCTTCTAGCTGTTGGCAGGACTTAAAAAGGTAGAGAGCAGTGTTCTGCATTTGCTAATGCCTTTGGATACTCCTCAAGTTAACCCTTCCATGCGCTAATCACCCACCCTTCAAGCAAAGGCTCTGATAAACCAGGTCACTGAGATAACGAGGACACATCCTGTTGGAAGGCTGCAGAGGAAGTTTACTGTACCTGTATCCAGACACCCCAGAAAGTAGCTTATCTAGGGAGGCCATAATAAAAGCAGAGAAGTTTGTAGGGCCTGCAGCTGTACCTGCCTAGTATTTCCAGCTGCACCTCAATATTATCACTCATGTTAATATGCGGTTTGCTTTCTTCTAGGGCTCGGTGTTTACTCTGCACTGAAAAAAAGAACAGGAAAGCATCACCAGGGTCTGTGAAGAGACATGCCAACGAATCCCAATACTAAGCAGCAACACACGGACATTAACGACTGCTTACAGACATTAATGACTGCTTCAGTCCTGCACAGTCAGGACAAGATCCCCAGATCCCCCAAGATCAGGACAAACCCCACAGGCAGCCAGAACCAGCAGTACTCAGTTTGTCTGGTCTTAAAATTCAGCCATTTGGGTCATACTCAAATTTCATTTTAAAAGGTTTTCAAGAAAAGTCATGAAGCCTGGACCATCACTAGCAGAATTTACTACAGACATTCCGGGTAAGGACTGGCATTTGCCTCACCTTCCTGAGGAACTACAAAATATTCAACTATTACACCAGAAATACTTCCCACTCATCTTCACAAGTTGTAAAATCTGACCCCTCCACCCCCAAGGTCTCAGGCTACTCAGGGCTGGATCAAACCACCAGGAAATGCTGTTTGCTCTCTTCTGCCACCGATTTCAGGAAAAAAAAATCAATTCTATGAATCCCGTTTGCAGAGCGGATAATGTGAGCTTTTTACCATGAAAACCTTTGCAATTCACTAAAAACAGCCAACAACCCAAAGGCTACGGTTGAGCTCTGACCGGCAGGCTGCTGCGGGGAGGGTCTCAGCTGCCAGATCCAGCAGATCCTCCAGCCGAAGACGATGCCCTCAGTCACAGCTTGGTTAGGTGAACAAGTTAGTGACACGCGAAAGTAAGCAAGCGGGTCTCAACGCACCAACAGCTACCGATTTCTGCGTTCCACTAGGACATCCATACTTCCACCTAGAAATTGCTTCTAAGATAGCCTCTCGGAGATGCGTCACAGATGATTCTCCCCAAAACAGGTGCAGTTAACTGCTGCTGTGCTACGTTGGGTCCGCGCCGCATGGAGCGGGCAAGCGTTAGCTCTGCTCCAAGTTCCTGGAATTGCCCCATCTGAGCATGACTTGATATGGATCAAGGTGGGAGAGGGCCACTGTCAAGCCATGTCCTTACCATCCCCATTTTTGCCTCATTAAGTTTGCTAAAGGTGTTTCATTAATGCTTATCAAACTAGAGGCGTGTAGCTGCTTACTCATACCAGTTATCTATGAACTTCAACCTTTAATAGCAGTCTCATACAACCAGAAAAATGACAGATTCACAGCTCAGACTACAGCTTCCTATTTTGACAGAAGTTATGAGATTTGCTAGCAAGAACTTGCACATTCAAAAGACATTCTCCATCCACCAAAGTACCAAAAGAAAGATCTACAAAACGTGGATGTACCAGCTGATTTCAATTTATTGTAAAAATTAAAATTTTAAGATGTATGAGCCATTAACTGATTTCTGTTGATTAAGGAAAAAAATATCAATAGCTGCCAACTGACTGCATTTTAGGCCGTTCAAACTCCAGTTCACTGCACTTCAATAAAGCTCTAGAGAAGCAAAATCTTCCTACCTTGCTGCTTAAACCAGGACTCCATAAGAAGTTCGGCTTAGCCTGTAGCCTGTGACTAAAGCATTCGGGTAGGACGAGTTAACTCATCCAACGTTGGCAAATGACAGAGGAATGATCTTTGGATTGCAATTTAGGCATTGCACATTCACTTTAGTAGAAGATACAACACTCATTTTAGCTTGCATATAACCAAAGACAACCCCTCTCCCCCTTTAAAAAAGTACCTGATCATTCCGGAAGATATGAAAGTGCTTTATAAAGCTATTTCAATTTTCTCCAGAAGTGCTTTCATTTAGAGTTCACTTCCTATCTTTTTACTTCATTTTACGTTCTCTAAAGCGATTGTTTCTTCTAGAGGAAAGCTTTTCTCTAATGCTTTGCCATAAAAACACAAGCTGTTAACCTTTCAATGTTCGCTATTAACAGTTTGGTAGAGTATCGATCATACAAATGACGCTCTAAATACAGCAATTCACGCTGACGACGGCTGTAAGAGGAGGGTTATGTCTGTTGATTCTTTTCTAATGTGTTTGGAAATGGCTTTCACTCCAAGACAAAAATTAAGGTAATCCCTCTACAAAGCTTTTTTTAATAAGGTGTTAATCGCAGCTGCAACGTTACCAATGGGACTTCAGCCACCCTTCAGGCAGCACTGGAACACCTGCCTCTGACCCAGAAAAATGGATTTTACAACCACACAAGCTGAACCTGAGAAACACCTCCTTCAGTGGCAGGTAGGAAAAAC